TATGCTGTTTTCTGCTTCTTTTTTTTTTTTTTATAAATTAATTTTTATTGGTGTTCAATTTACCAACATACAGAATAACACCCAGTGCTCATCCCGTCAAGTGTCCCCCTCAGTGCCCGTCACCCATTCACTCCCACCCCCCGCCCTCCTCCCCCTCCACCACCCCTAGTTCATTTCCCAGAGTTAGAAGTCTTTATGTTCTGTCTCCCTTTCTGATATTTCTCACACATTTCTTCTCCCTTCCCTTATATTCCCTTTCACTATTATTCATATTCCCCAAATGAATGAGAACATACACTGTCCTTCTCCGGTTACTGTGGCCAAGTTCAAAAAGGGTGTTGCCTGAGTTCTCCTCTGGGATTTTGATGGAACCTTGTCTCACATTTAGATCTTTCATCTATTTTGAGTTTATCTTTGTGTATGGTGCAAGAGAGTGGTCCAGTTTCATTCTTCTGCATGTGGATGTCCAATTTTCCCAGCACCATTTATTGAAGAGACTGTCTTTCTTCCAGTGGATCGTCTTTCCTCCTTTATCGTATATTAGTTGACCATAAAGTTCAGGGTCCACTTCTGGGTTCTCTATTCTGTTCCATTGATCTATGTGTCTGTTTTTGTGCCAGTACCACACTGTCTTGATGAACACAGCTTTGTAGTACAACCTGAAATCTGGCATTGTGATGCCCCCAGATACGGTTTTCTTTTTTAAAATTCCCCTGGCTGTTTGGGGTTTTTTCTGATTCCACACAAATCTTAAAATAATTTGTTCTAAGTCTCTGAAGAAAGTCCATGGTATTTTGATAGGGATTGCATTATACGTGTAAATTGCCCTGGGTAACATTGACATTTTCACAATATTAATTCTGCCAATCCATGAGCATGGAATATTTTTCCATCTCTTTGTGTCTTCCTCAATTTCTTTCAGAAGTGTTCTATAGTTTTTAGGGTATTTTTTGAGAACCATTTGAATGGTAAATGGTTCTCTAACCTTTTATTTTCAGGTTGTAGGTGTCCTTCTGTCTAAAATGAGTCTCTTGTAGACAGCAAATAGATGGGTCCTGCTTTTTTATCCAGTCTGAAACCCTGCGCCTTTTGATGGGGTCATTAAGCCTATTCACGTTCAGAGTTACTATTGACAGATATGAGTTTAGTGTCATCATGATATCTATTTAGTCCTTGTTTTTGTGGATTGTTCCACTGAACTTCTTCTTAAAGGGGAGTTTTAAGAGTCCCCCTTAAAATTTCTTGCAGAGCTGGTTTGGAGGTCACATATTCTTTCAGTTCCTGCCTGTCTTGGAAGCTCTTTATCTCTCCTTCCATTTTGAATGAGAGCCTTGCTGGATAAAGTATTCTTGGCTGCATGTTCTTCTCATTTAGGACCCTGAATATATCCTGCCAGCCCTTTCTGGCCTGCCAGGTCTCTGTGGAGAGGTCTGCTGTTACCCTAATATTCCTCCCCATGAAAGTCAGGGACTTCTTGTCTCTTGCTGCTTTAAGGATCTTCTCTTTATCTTTGGAATTTGCAAGCTTCACTATTAGATGTCGAGGTGTTGAACGGTTTTTATTGATTTTAGGGGGGGATCTCTCTATTTCCTGGATCTGAATGCCTGTTTCCCTTCCCAGATTGGGAAAGTTTTCAGCTAGGATTTGTTCAAATACATATTCTGGCCCTCTGTCCCTTTCGGCGCCCTCGGGAACCCCAATTAAACGTAGGTTTTTCCTCCTTAGAGTGTCATTTATTTGCCTTAATCTGTCTTCATGGTTCTTTAATTGTTTATCTCTTTTTTCCTCAGTTTCCCTCCTTGCCATCAACTTGTCTTCTATGTCACTCACTCGTTCTTCCACCTCGTTAACCCTCGTCGTTAGGACTTCTAGTTTGGATTGCATCTCATTCAATTGATTTTTAATTTCTGCCTGATTGGATCTAAATTCTGCAGTCATGAAGTCTCGTGAGTCCTTAATGCTTTTTTCTAGAGCCACCAGTAGCTGTAGAATAGTGCTTCTGAATTGGCTTTCTGACATTGAAGTGTAATCCAGATTTTGTAACTCTGTGGGAGAGAGGGCTGTTTCTGATTCTTTCTTTTGAGGTGAGGTTTTCCTTCTAGTCATTTTGCTCAGTGCAGAGTGGCCAAAAACAAGTTGTATTGGAACACGGGGGAGTATCACTGGTCCGTCCAGCAGGTCTTCTGGGGGAGGGGCCTGCTGTGCTGATTCTCAGGTGTTAGCACTTGGGGGAGCTGCTCTGCCCCTGCCTGCTGCAGGGCTCAGCGGGGGTTGTTCACCCCGTGGGGCCCCGGGAGGATCAGCCGCAGTTGCTATGGCAACTCTGGAAGCCTGGATTCAGCCTCCGCAGGAACTACGGGGCTCCGGGCTCTCGGTTCTCCGTCTGCAGGGCCTGGAGGCTCCGGGGCGGGGCCGCTGATCTGCTCAGCTCCGGGCAGGAGCGTCCGTGCTGTCCTGGGCCCTCCCGGCCTCTGCCTGTCCCAGGGGGAGGCGGGATCCTGGGCTGTGTCCCGGCGCCCTGTGCTCCGGGGCCTGCGCTGGTGGATTCGCGCTCCCGCCCCGCAGCTCCCTCCCTGGAGCCGCTCCCGAGCCCCTCCGAGCTGCTCCGGTCGGTCCCGCCGTGCGCGCTGCCGCAGTTGCTATGGCAACTCTGGAAGCCTGGATTCAGCCTCCGCAGGAACTACGGGGCTCCGGGCTCTCGGTTCTCCGTCTGCAGGGCCTGGAGGCTCCGGGGCGGGGCCGCTGATCTGCTCAGCTCCGGGCAGGAGCGTCCGTGCTGTCCTGGGCCCTCCCGGCCTCTGCCTGTCCCAGGGGGAGGCGGGATCCTGGGCTGTGTCCCGGCGCCCTGTGCTCCGGGGCCTGCGCTGGTGGATTCGCGCTCCCGCCCCGCAGCTCCCTCCCTGGAGCCGCTCCCGAGCCCCTCCGAGCTGCTCCGGTCGGTCCCGCCGTGCGCGCTGCAGCCCTTAGGGAGCTCGGCGCACTCACCTGCGCTCGCAGGTGTCTGTTAGTGTCCCAGGGAGCCCGAGGGCATCCCCGCCCTCCTGGGTCCTGCTCCAACTCCCTGCGAGCCCCTTTCCGCCCGCCCGGGAAGGTTGGTGCAGCTCCTGCTCCTCCGGGACTGGACGGGGCTCTCCCGTCCTGGGGACACTCGCCCCGGCCTCAGCCCGGCTCCTCGCGGGGCCCCTCCCCCTCGGAGGCCTTTTGTTTCTTTATTTCTTTTTCCCCGTCTTCCTACCTTGATAGAAGCGCGAACTCTTCTCACTGTAGCGTTCCAGCTGGTCTCTCTTTACATCTCAGGCCGAATTCGTAGATTTTCAGGATGATTTGAAGGTTATCTAGGTAATTTGGTGGGGACAGGTGATTTGGGGACCCTGCTCTTCCGCCATCTTGCCCCTCCCTCTGTTTTCTGCTTCTTAAATGAGACCTGATACTACTTCCACTAAAACCGAAGACTTATAGAGCTCTCTGGTCAGGATACATGTTATGTGCATGGGTTTCTGCTGTTCTTCTGGGTAAGGGGACTGCCTGCTGTGACTCAGGCAATCTTGATCAAGAAGAGCTATAGCACCACAGCACAGAGATATGGGACTTGGTGTAACCAGGGTAGGCAGCCTGTATTGGCACTGTGCTGCTTACCACAGTTGGCTCTGACTTTATTTTAAGGGCAAAGAAGGGAAATGATTCCAGCTAGTTTCCACCCCACCCCCATCCTCCCACAGAGAGCAGTCTCTGTGCATGCTGCTTCTCAGGGAAAAACTCTGAGAAAAGTAAATAATCTTTTCTGTGTGTGTCCCAGGCTTTGTTCAGATAAATTTTTCCACACTCTGCCTCCAGGTTGTCTGCCTTCTCCCCAGGAGCAGAACAGTGCCCTCTGGGCTCTATCCCACTCAAACCTGATGACTTTTAAAATTTTATGCTTTAGGGATGTGGTGTGGCAGGGACATGTGCTGGTCTTCTGGGGTAGGGTCCTGTCACACTGGGACTGAATCTAGCTTGGCCAAGAGGGGAAGGCACACCAGAATGCAGAGGTATGGTATCTGGTATAAACAAGTTAAGCAGCCAGTTTTAGGGCTGAGCTGCTTTCCACAGGTGGCTCTGCATTTATGTTGAGTGGTGTGGGTGGGAAATGACACCAGTATTTCATTTGTTCTTTGAGAGACATATCTGTGAAAATTACTTCTCTGGGACATGCACCAAGAAAAACCAATCATCTCCTTGCTATTTACCCCAGGCATTCTTCAGTGTCCATGCTATCTATCCCAGGGTTGTTTGCATGCCTTTTCTCCCAGAGTAGGGCAGCACCCTCAGGACTCTTTTCCAGCCAAGTCGGGATATTTAAAACTCCAGTCTTTAAATCCTGCTAGTTGTAAGGGCTCATGAAAATCAGAGCCTCTTTTTTTTCCCCCCGAGCTAATGGCTTTTGGGATATGTTCTCCTTATGTGTTCCACTCTCTTTTACCTTTCTCCATGACAATGGTTTCCTCCTTTCTGCACCAACTGCAATCCATTTCTCCAATGTCATGTCCTCTCTCTTTTTAGTTGTGGAATTTGTTTTGTGAGTCTTCAGGTTGATTTCTGGGGTATTTAGAATGATTTGATATGTATCTAGTTCTGTTCAAGAGATTAGAAGAGCCTAGATTCTCTTATTATGCTGCCGTCTTAGCACTGTGAACTGAATCTAGTAATCTCATACAATTTTTTAAAAAAATAATATGTCTTGGGATCCCTGGGTGGCGCAGTGGTTTGGCGCCTGCCTTTGGCCCAGGGCGCGATCCTGGAGACCCGGGATCGAATCCCACATCGGGCTCCCGGTGCATGGAGCCTGCTTCTCCCTCTGCCTGTGTCTCTGCCTCCCTCTCTCTCTCTGTGACTATCATAAATAAATAAAATAGGCGGGGGGCGTCGCTGTGTCTGGGTGCGCGCTGCTCCCGGGGCCGCCGGCGCTCCGCGGGGGCGGGAGGCGTGGCGGGAGGCGGGGCGGGGTCGCGGCGGTCGGAGGCGGCGGGCCGGGGTCTCGGCGCCGTGGCCGCGTCCGTGTTCTGCTGCCTGCGGTGCTGCCGGGACGGCGGCGCGGGGCACATCCCCCTCAAGGAGATGCCGGCCGTGCAGCTGGACACGCAGCACATGGGAACGGATGTTGTCATTGTGAAAAATGGGAGAAGGATATGTGGGACAGGAGGCTGTTTAGCCAGCGCCCCTTTACATCAAAACAAAAGCTACTTTGAATTCAAAATCCAGTCCACAGGAATATGGGGTGTTGGCGTCGCAACTCAGAAAGTTAACTTGAATCAGATTCCTCTTGGCCGAGATGTGCACAGCCTGGTGATGAGGAATGATGGAGCCCTGTACCACAACAACGAGGAGAAAAATAGGATGCCAGCAAACAGTCTTCCGCAGGAGGGAGATGTAGTGGGTATTACATATGACCATGTAGAACTAAATGTATATTTGAATGGAAAAAATATGCATTGTCCAGCATCAGGTATACGAGGGACAGTGTATCCAGTTGTTTATGAGAGAAAAATAAAACTCAAGGAGCGCCTGGCCAGCTTAATCAGTAGAGCATCTGACTCTTGATCTCAGGGTGTTGATGACAGTGCAATTTTGGATTGCCAGTTCAGTGAATTTTATCATACTCCTCCACCTGGTTTTGAAAAAATATTATTTGAACAGCAGATCTTCTGAATGTATTTGTTTTTGAAACTTGTATTTCTGCACTTTTAAAAGTGTTTACCATTTAATAAAGCTTTACCTGACCTGTAGATGAAAATATATTCTTAAAAATATGCTTGTTAATGTTGTTTAAGAAACCAATGTATTCAAGATACCATCTGGAAGTTGTGATTTAAAATATTTTTGTTTTGTGAGATAAAATCAGCATTTGGGGCAGTTTATTTAATTCTTATTTAAATATAACTATGGGTTTGATTAACAGTATTAAGTGGAAATATGTATATACATATTTAAAAGGGGTCTTTCTTACATAAAATAATTTGTTTTTATAATAGAGATATAGAGTTGGGTGGGTTTTTCTCATTCTGAAATTTAGACCTCATCAACTATTTTAAGTCTGCCGTCTAAGATTTTGTGTCTGTGTTGTCTTTTATATAGAGTGTAACAAAGTGAGAGAATATACATTATTGGCAACTTCTTTTTTGGTGGTTTGTTTACTGTAAATCGTACCACTTAAACTTTAAATTGTCTACTTTGTATGTCATTGCTTTAAATTTGCTTTGTGAAAGGAGGTAAATGTTTCAGAACTGTCAGAGCGTTTTGTTGAAGACCATCATGCTGTTATTTCAGTACCAGAGTAAGTCGTCTTTGATGGGCGATGTATACACTGGCAGACATTTAGAATAGTATGATGCTTTAAACTTAAATGTAAATGAGATTATTCTTTTAAGAACTTTTATTTAAATGTGTGTCTTTCTGTAAGAAATAATAAAATGATAGTAATTAAGTAATACTTAGTACTATATTAAATACATGTTCTTCCTGTTTTGTGATTATATGTTAAGTTCGTTTCATCCTGATTATTTCAGAAGTTCAGAGATAAGTGAAATGCTCTCCGTGACCCTGAGCTTTTGTCGAGTCCTCAGTAGAGATTCCTTCAGTACCCTACTAACCTGAACTAATTCATTGTACGCACGCTGGTACAGTCTCCACTTCTAGCGAGTATGCCAAGGATGTGGATGTTTCACTCCTTTGTCAACAGAGAGCAGTATGTTGTACTAGAAAACCACGGGCCTTAGAATCAGAGATCTGAATTGTAATTTTGCCACCTAATCCCATTACCTTCTCAGCTGAGTTCCTTAGCTTCCCTGAGCTCAGCTTCCTCATTTATAAAAGGGATACTCATACCTGCTCGATAAGATTCTATAACTAAATAAAGTAATATATCTAAAACACTTGAATCACCATAGGCACTTAATAAGTGTAGCTTCCTTGTTGACCCTTAAAACAGTGGGTTTCATAGTGTTGTCAGACCAGCATTCTCAGGCCCCACCCCAGACCCACTGAATCAGAGACCGTGGGGATTAGCACCCTGGAGTCTGTGGTTGAACAAGTCTTTCAGGTGATTCTAATACATGCTAAAGTTTGAGAACCACTGTTGGGGAGAGAATGGTTGACTACTATAAGTTTTCTAAAATTCTAAGACTATTTTTGACCTATAGGCAAGAGAATCCTGCAGTGTTTGTTTATTTGGTAGATAAAAATGCAACAATATGCTTTGAAAACATAAGTATACTTGAGTAAGTTTATTGACGTAAAACCCAGATTTACCTTTGAAGATACGTAATTGAAATAACTATATTATTTATGCGTTTTTGTCTGACTTTCTGTCCTAGTAATCTTAATTTGTAAAGAACATGCTTACTTTGGAAAGCAAATTAAAATGACTACTGTTTGCTGTCTTTATAATGTTATCTACCTCTTAGTTACCCTTTCTTTTTTTTAAGCTAGCTTTTTAAAATCATAATTTTCTTTACTCAATACTATTTTTCTGTCTCTAATCATATGGAATAGGGACAATACTAAAAATGATATATGAATTACGTCCAAGGCAATGGTTTGATGAAGTCTAGATGTGTTTTTAATCTGTAGGTACTTAAGTCCTATTAGGAAAATTATCTTCCTAAAACTATGACCTCAGTCTAATCTTAAAGAAGACATCAAATTCCAGTACAAGAGCAACCTACAAAATACTTGAACAGTACTCCTCCAAACTATCAAGGTCATCAAAAAAAAAGAGAAAGTCAGAGAAACTGTCGTACCCAAGGAACTGAGCCCAACGGGACACAACAAGTAAACGTAATGTGGGATCCAGGAACAGAAAAAAGATACTAGGTAAAAACTAAGGATATATTAATAAACTATGGATTTTAATAATAAAGTATCAATATTCATTTATTAATTGTAATAAATAAATAATAATAATATGTCTTTTTTCATGAACATATTATATCTTTCCATTTATTTATGGTTTTTAACTTTCTTTCAGTAACGTTTTGTAATTTTATCTGTTTAAATTTCATATAACTTTCTTTACATATGTTCTTAGTTATTTGAAATTTTGGATGTGTGACAAAAGGTGTGTGATTTAAAACCTAAAAATGTATTTTCTAATTGTTATTTTTATCTAATGAACTGGCTAAATTCAATTAATAATTCTTTTAAAAATATTTTAGAGAGAAAGAGCAGGGAGGAAGGACAGAGGGAGAGGGAGAGAGAGTCTCAAGCAGACTCTGCACTGAGTGTGGAGCCCAACATGGGGCTTGATCTCACAACCCTGAGAGCATGACCTGAGATGAAACCAAGTGTCAGATGCTTAACCAACTGTACCATCCAGGCAGCTCTCAATTAATAATTCTAATCATTTATCTGTAGGTTCATTTTGTGTGCTTTTTATATATACACAATCATGTACCTATTATCTATTTTACCCATCCCCCATGTCCCCTCTGGCAATCAGTTTGTTCAACGTATTTAAGAATCTGTTTTATTCTTCATCTCTCTCTTTAATTCAAGTAATTAATATACAGTGGTATATTAGTTTCAGGTGTGCAGTATAATGATACAACAATTCTGTACATTACTCAGTGCTCATCATGATAAGTGTATTCTTAATACCCTTCACTTATTTTACCCATTTCACATCCATCTTACCTCAGACAATGACTAGGTCTTTTCTATATTTAAGAGTCAGGTTTTTTTTGTTTCTTTTTATTGTTCATATGTTTCTTTCTTAAATTACACATATAAGTGGAATCATATGGCATTTGTCTTTCTCTGATATATTTTGCTTAGTATTATATCATCTAGGGATATCCATGTTGCTGAAAACAGCAAAACCTCATATTTTATGGCTGAAGAATATTTAATTCTGAGTGTACATATGTGTGTGTATGTATGCATACATATACATATCTTGGTATTGTAAACAATGCTCCAATAAATATATGGGTGTATATATCTCTTTGAATTAGTATTTTTGTTCACTTTGAGTAAATACTAATTAGTGAAATTATAGAATCACATGGTAATTCTATTTTTAGTTTTTTGGGGAGCCTCTGCACTTTTTTTTCACATTGGATATACCACTTTGCATTCCCCCAAAAGTGAATGAGAGTTCTTTTCTTTTCACATCTTTGCCAACAGTTATTTCTTGTATTTCTTGGTTTAGCTCTTCTGACAGATGTAAAGTGATATCTTATTGTCATTTTAAAAAACTTTATTTATTTTAGAAAAAGAGAGAGAGATACAGAGACAGAGAAAGGAGGGGAGAGGGATATAGGGAGAGGAAGAATCTCCAGCAGATTCTGCACTGAGCATGGAGCCCAACACCAGGCTTGGTCTCATGACCCTGAGATCATAAGCTGAGCAAAAATCAATAGTTGAATGCTCAACCAAGTGAGCCATCCAGGTGTTCTTCTCACTGTGATTTTGATTTTCATTTACTTGATGATTAGTGATGTTGATTTTTTTTTTGTATCTGTTGGCCTTCTGTATGTCTTTTTTTGATAAATATCAATTCAGGTCCTCTGCCCTTTAATTGGGTTATTTTGTGTTGAGTTCCATAAGTTCTTCATACATTTTAGGTGTTAACCCCTGATTGGATATATAAATTGCAAATATCTTCTCCCATTCAGTAGGCTGTGATTTTGTTTCATTGATAGTTTTCCCCACTGAGCAAAATCTTTTTATTTTGGTGTAGTTCAATAATTTATTTTCATCTTTGTTTTCCTTTCTGGAAGAGCCATATCTAGAAAAATACTTCTACATCTGATGTCAAAGAAATTATCGTCTATATTTTCTGCTGGGAATTTTATGTTGTCAGGTCTTACATTTATGTCGTCAAGCCTGTTTGAGTTTATTTTTGTTTATGGTGTTAGAAAGTGGTCCAGGTTTGTTTGTTTGCATGTAGCCGTCCAATTTTTCCAGCATCATTTGTTGAAGAGACTGTCTTTTCCCTACTTGCATATTATTGCCTTCTACATGATAAAATTACAATAAAAGCTTGTGTTTATTTCTGAACTCTCCATTCCATTCATCTATGTAAGAGGAGGGGCAAGATGGCGGAAGAGTAGGGTCCCCAAATCACCTGTCCCCACCAAATTACCTAGAAAACCTTCAAATCATCCTGAAAATCTACGAATTAGGCCTGAGATTTAAAGAGAAAACAGCTGAAACGCTACAGTGAGAAAGAAGAGTTCGCGCTTCTATCAAGGTAGGAAGACGGGGAAAAAGAAATAAAGAAACAAAAGGCCTCCAAGGGGGAGGGGCCCCGCGAGGAGCAGGGCTGAGGCCAGGGCGAGTGTCCCCAGGACAGGAGAGCCCTGTCCCGGAGAAGCAGGAGCTGCACCAACCTTCCCGGGCAGAAAGGGGCCCGCAGGGAGTTAGAGCAGGCCCCAGGCGGGCGGGGATGCCCTCGGGCTCCCTGGGACACTAACAGACACCTGCGCGTGCAGGAGAGTGCGCCGAGCTCCCTAAGGGCTGCAGCGTGCACCGGAGCAGCTCGGAGGGGCTCGGGCGGTGGCTCCAGGGAGGGGGCTACGGGGCGGGAGTGCGAATCCAAC